AAGACTCAGCCGGCTTATCTTTGTCCGAAAACTTAAATTTGAAATCGATAGCACATAGGAAACTCACTATTAAAAAACCTGAGGGTGATCTTTTGTTAACAAGATTTGTTAACATCTTCCATGCTCTTATTTTCATTCAAATGCGGACCAAGGTACATGGCAGAACACTGGAGACTACACTGCACGTTCGCATGGAAGAGCGTACTTTTACAATCAAATTGCTTGTATTTTATTACCTTATATATAAAACGAAGGTTATAGCTTGCAAGTTTCTTTGAAGGTATATTTATCTACTCCCCGTACCAACACAGTCTGCTTCGTTTTTTTAGAACATTAGCATAACATAACAAGTTCACGCCAAGTTGAGATCTCGAGAGAAGCCATCTATTTACAAACTAAATATCTAGAAATTATCTAGCCAGTAAAAAGTAATTATCTAACATACATATGATAACTTTATTTTTAAGGCGTTTTAAGCACGTTGTACATACTGAACTTAGACATTTCAAAATAGCCGCATTGGCGGATCGTGCCAAATTATATTTGGAAGCTTTTAGAGAAGCTCCTTATGGCTGGCATCTCCAACTCCAAAGTGCGTTGATTCCGGATCCGATGCATCTTCCGGTGCACTTTGCTTTTTGAGTCACTAGGTGTTAGCCTCTCGTTTATCTGGTAAGGACTGAAAGAAGCTAACACGAAATGCGCAGATATATATATATATATATTATATAGATATATCTATGATATTATGAAGTATCACCATAAAGAAAGGCAGTATACCTTTCGATTGTGCTTTGTAGAGACATTAGCATAGAAACTGTGTGCCTTACGACGTCCTTTTATTACCGAAGCAAAGTGTAAGTCAAAGTTTCCCGGCTTAATGGAACGAAAATACATGATAGTAGTCATGGTAGCATTTTTTTTTTTTATTATTTGCATAAAAGACCTTTCGTTTCATAAAGATCTATATAATATATAAAATGTCTCATTTAAGTTATATTTTTCAAGCACACAACGTACTATGGCTAAAATCACGCTCACTAACCGGAACGGTAATTCTAATGAGATGTACCTGCTCAGTAAGCGATGGTATGACAAACTGACTAGGATTAGTGGTAGACTTCCTTATATCAATGGGCTGTCGGAAGATGTCTTCATTTGTACAGTTAATAGGCGTCGATAGAGCCGCTGGCGCTGTTGTAGTCGTGGCCCTACATCATCGTCACTAGCAGTTTTTCGTGCAGACCTTGAAAAAACATTAACAAGAGTGATTCAGTGGTCCTACTCCTCGGTAATACTTCCTTAAATCCTTGCAGATATTGTAAATGCAGGTGCATCCGATGTGGGAAGTACCAATGCACCAGTTCTTATTGGTGGCGGAGCCCACTTCGGTGACCGATCGTCGGCCTATCGCAGGGCACATATCAAATGCATTTTAACAACAAAGTAGTAAAACAATCAGGTATTATTTCCTATGCGCCTACAACTGAAAGTAAAAAATCGTTTGACTCTGTAGAAAGTTACATAATTACCGGCATTTTTGCTAAAATCAAGTCGAACCATGTTATTATTAGCAATACTCTTAACATTCACCTCTATTACCTTGGTGTTATTATCCGCTATAGCACTCAACATTTTGCGGGCTTCTTGTATTCTTCGCTGAAGCTTCCGTAGAAACTTTCGAGTCTCACGCAGTTTTGAAATTTCTTCCTATTGGGGTATAAAGAGACCGTTAAGGGTTAGTTATTCAACCGCGGAAACAATTATTATTCACGTCTATTATATGCTCACCTCGTTTTTGTTCTCTCTAGTTTCAAGACAGGCAATGGTTGCGACATAATCTTTACGTCGATTTTCATATAGAGATAAGGCCTTTTCTAACCCGTCCTTTTGGCCTTTTCGACGGATAAGGTACTTCGATTTGACATGATAATCTGAAAGAAAAATTACGTTCTAAATAAATTCAATGGGGCTAAGGAGACACTATCTCCCTTTGTATATAGCAATGTTTGCTTTGAGAAAATTCTGACAACCTGAAATCTGAAATCTTGCGGCTATGTTTAGGAATTGTGCCAGGGGTATTTCACGCCATTGCTGTATACACGATGCGCAAAATGGATTAGTGCACACAAGTGATCATGAACTGTGGCAGCGTGCAAAAAACCGTACTTCTACTTCTTGCTCTCTTACATTCACTTTTCCGCATATAAATCCAGTGTTGGTTCTTAAACTAATTATCGTGTGAATCTGGTGGAGTGGTTTTTTGTGTACGTTGCTCCGACATAGGAAAAGGAAAAATGACGCGTTTTACTAAGACAGGCTTTTACACGCACGGCTTGGGAATAATACCAAGTTTTGGCTGAAGTGCTGAATAAATCATATGGAAAATAAATACATATATACATATAAAAAATTACCGCTAGTTCCGGTCGAATTTAATTGATGATGAATGGTATATATAAAGTATAGTTCAAATGGTACTATTTTTTGTTGAAACATGAAAAACAATAAAATTAAAGGTCTAGAAACAAACAACCGACGGTACGATGTAAGTTACGTTTGTATACATGAGAAAATATACTTGTTGCTTGAAAGATCACATTTACTTTTCGCATAAAATAAACGTAAAACGTCTAAAAAGCAAACAATTTTATAACTACTTCTCGTATAAAATAAACGTAAAAAAGAACGAACAATTTATTATAACTTAAACATGCATGCGGGGTTTATAATTCGCTGGACATCACCTAATGTGATATTACGAAATTGTTGTTTGTCACCAGTAATTATATCGAGCACTCTGCGCAACCTGCTGTTCAGCGAAAGTATGTAGTTACAACCCATTATTTTTGTGCAAACGGGCTTAAGCCTATATGTGTACAGGGCACGCTTAAATCGTACCCGCAATGCACGCTGAAGGCTCATATTTGAAGAATATGATGTTATAATTTTATAGGTAACGAGACAAGTAAACATAGGCATACCACCGTTGACAGGCCTTTTGTCAGGGATAGACGTGTTATCGACCTCGTAAGTAAGTAAATCCTTAATATCCACATTAACTCCATCCGCTACAGTTGTTAGTCGAAGAACAGCCACCTCAACATGTTTGCACTGAAAAAAAGTTTACACATAATTGCCAATTATGCAAATGTGACGTCGCAAAAATCGAATCATAATTCACACATACCGTAGTGATCGCTGGTATTGTCTCCAACGTAGGTTTAGGGGAGACTTGGTGGATTTTGGAAGCTGCAAATACATAATTCGTGTAATTAGTAACAGAATTCTGTACGACCAGGCTATGAACAATAGAAATTATGACTAATCACTCACCGATAGCCATCGTTGAAATTCGTTTTTTAAAATATAATGACTAGCTGGAATGCTCAGAAGGAACCAACATGTAAATAAAGGTGGAAGGTTTGCGTAAATTAGTACGTGAAGCCGAAATATGTCTGAAAAATGCGTACAGTGCTCTTTGGATCTATTTAGGAGCAAGCGAGTTCCCAATAACTTCCGCAGCAATCATAAAAAACCATAAAAATGCTTGAAAGTATTAGCCTGTTACAAACGAATCCGGCAGACTTTGAATTGAATAATTTTTGAACCCCACGCTGCTAAACAAGATTTGACTGGCAAATGCTCCAGTCTTCTAGAAACTTATGAACGGAAGCCTATTGAGATTACTAAAGAAAAAGTAAGTCCAGAAGAAAAAAACGTCTTTTAGTTTTAATAATCAATGCACAGTGCTCAATTTTTTGTTCCTGAAAGACCACACCGCTACGAACATACATCGAAAACATAGAGTAAGGAGCTTTTAAATGAATACGCAGTGCGAATGTTGAAGTACAATTATTTTTTGTTGAAAAACGTTTGCCCTATTCCTTAGCGATAGAATGGAGATTGAAGGTCAGCGAGAGGGTAACCGGATATTAGGACCCAAAAGTCAAAAAGCATTGTCCCAATCGAGGGAGCTTTTCCCGACACTTGAACTTGATATGTAAAGGCTCTGTCGACTAATGCTGTGTATTACAAAATTAGGGCCCAAGTACTAAAGGCGTGACAACTGAGTAAGAAGTTGGTTTCCTGTAAAGTAACTTCATATCAATTAGGATCCAGTGCATGGGGTATTCCACGTCAATAAAGCGGGATCTTACTTCAGATACATGAAAACTTTGCTGGCGTATGCAGTCGCCATAAATAAGGCATGGCTTAACCTCTATCACCAGCCAAAAAGAAACGAGAGGAGCCAATGGCATCAAGAGGAAGTGAGTTCGGTCATAATACTAAGTAGATTTGGACATATGATGGTAGTGTTTACAATGACCATTAGGAACGTCTGCTACTATGAGATAGTCGACACAAACGAAACAACGAATGCGACCCGGTGTCTCAAGTTCCTCAAGAAGCTATTAAAATCCATCAAGCTTCCACCTGTCTTGAAGGCGGTGCCAATGAAAACTAATGTACGTGCGAATTGGCTGGACTGTTGTCACATCGTCATACTTGCTTAATTAGAATTTATGTATAAATTTTTTTGGGTGGCATTATTTCGGCTAAGAACCGCAGCGGATGGAGTTAATATCGATATTAAGCATTTACTTATCGAGGTCGATAACTGGCTTACGCCTAAAGAAAGACTCTGTCATACTTATGCTTGCTTTTCTCGTTGCCTTTTTAATTTTTATTACATTTTTTTACTTTTGAATATTTTCTAAATATGTTTCAGCGTTTCCAGCCGGAACAATCTAGGTATGTCCTGTGCTTATATAACTTTAAACCCGTTTCCACGAAAATAATGAGTTAACTATGTACTCACTTCGAGAATCTTGTCAAGACATGCACCAAATCATTCCGTTGTGGTTCCATAGATTTACAGTATGATCATCGGCGTAAAAATAACGCTACGAATTTCTATGCAGAAAAGGTCGATGTAGGTTAAAATTTTATTACTTGCTGCTGGTTCTCAAAATAGCTTAACTTGTGAGGTAGCTAAACATTCACGGATTTGATTTGCACACGAATCTAAAGAGTTTCAGTTATGTTGGTGGCTACAACAGACTATCTGACTTGTGGCTTGCTGTAGACTTTTTTCCAACATGAAGAAGGCGAAACACTTAGTGTGCTTTTAGAAGACTTCCAGCACTTCATGTGGCAAATTTCATTGGCTGTATCCGCAGCCGCTTTTTTTCTAGAAGTAATAAACTACGGTATGCCGAACATTTTTGCTTCTGGCTTTTCCTTTTTTCGAGTACTTATAACTCGGATTTTGCTAAGCTCTACCAAACGTGGGTGGATAGGCACAGCTTTTTATAAATATTGTAGTAATCCCGCTTCCCTATTACCAAAGGCCTTTTAAGCAGAAACATGGTAAATTAAACGAATATTTTAGGTAGTGCCCTCTGTGTTTTGAGTTTTACGTCTGCTATCACCGTTACGCATTTCATCAAACGGTTGGCTCCAAGCACGAAATGAGGTGCATCTATGCCCGGCTTTGAATCCACACCACGACATGTCTTCAAGATTAGCAGATGAATACATTACACGCTAAGCTATCACAGGGCAGGGACAGAGCTTGTGGCCTATACGCAACCATGGCCGAGGTGGCATTCGATATTTGATTTATCGTTGCACAGATATCCGGGTCGCAAAGCAAGTTTCTTATCCATTTTACTAAACAATCAAGGCCGCGTAAATGAAGAACTGTACTGAATTGAACTTGAAATGAGTGACGTTTATCAAAGTCTAGTATCACGTCCAAATGTCGGCACGATGATATATGTGTTTACCTTTGAAATTATTATCTCATATATTGCCTTATAAATGCTATTCTTAAGAAGATTGCATGCTGCCAAAATAAATAGTTCCTTAGATGTTTATACTTATCCTTGAATCTATTTTGCATACCACGTATACAGAAGTGGCGCGAAACATGCCTGGCATAATCCCTTAACAGATCCGTAAGGCCGTACCAAGTTTCAAGCCCAGGAAAAAGGAATGTATATTGAGGTCTTAAGTCTGATGGCAAACATTGTGATATTCGGAGAGAGTGGTTCTCTTCGGTCTGGTTGATTTTATTTAAAAAATTATTTTTTTTTCACATCTATAGGTTAAATCGAAGTACATTGTTCGTCGAAAAGGTCAAAGGGGAGCATTAGAAAAAGCCTTAACATTAAACAAAACTTGACGAAAAAATTGTAGTGCAATCGTCGTCTTTCTTGAAACCTGAGAAAACAAAAACGAAGTGACCATAGGCGGACTTCAGTTTAATTTACCCTTTTGTTGAAAAACTAACCCATAACAATATATTTTATACCTCAACAGGAAAAAAAGGAAAAAATTTTAAAAAGTTTAAAATTCTTTTATTGAGGTTTGAAGCTTTTACGAAACAGCGGAAAATAGAAGAAGCTCGCACAATGCTCAGGGTTATAGCGGGTGGTAATTTTGGAATAATCGAGACAGGTTTTCAGAGTAGCGTTACTAAGAGTAGTAGTGATCGACTTGACCTTTGTTACCAAGAATGCTGCCAATTAGAATGTTGACTAAATAATCGTGTTACTTTTTGCAAGGTTAAATGATTAATTTTTTTTTTATTAAAAAGATGTAGATGTTCTTCCAATAAAAAGCAGTACCTCTGGAGTTCATATGACAATCGGTCACTGAAACGGGTTCCATCCGCTGCTATGTCACCGCCAATAAGAACCAGTAGAGCAAATTCAATGGTATTGATATTTTCCCTATTGGATGTACCACTGGCTACAACGGTTTAAGTTAAAAGTGAAGGGTTAGGTTAGATTAAGGATTAGGTTAGGTTAAGAGTTAAGGTAAAGGTTACACAGGTTACTTTTTGTTTCATTTGCACATGCCTGATAGACTTTCAACTTGCGTTCAATCCAGGTCAAATATACATATGCGCAAACCACCTGTTTCATCCCAGTATAATTAGTTTAATTCTCTTTGACTTCGAGTTCCTTAGTTTGTGATTCTGTTGTCTCATGATTTCACGATGAAACAGCCTTTACACACTTGAGAGTTTCGAGCCTTGACGAAGCAGCGTAATGGAGCGTCCAATGGTATATTAGTAGGCTATTTCTTGATTATAAACATAAGTGGATGCAAATACTAAAGCAAGGACTTTTCAATTCTTGCGTATCCTTGTTTAGTGACCAGCTTGCATGATGGGCGGTTTTTTTGGTACTGCTTTTAGACCATATTGACTTGGCCTTCTTTGGTTTTGCTGCGACTACGATGGGTAAATCAGGATCACATTGAGTAATAATAAATTTATTGAAGTTTTTCAACAGTGTTGCCACACTTTCGTACTTGACGTTCTTTTTCATATAGTAATGCCTTTAGTGAACCCTGAATACCTGTCAGTGTGTTAACGAAGGCCATGTTATAATAATATGTAATTATTTCTAGAAAAGGCAGGTAACTAACTCGTTGCATACATGTTCACTAGGGATAAGAATTAGATTTGATTCCTATAATTTTTCTCAAATGGATGATTACCTGATCCTATACTGTGACGAAGGCACTCCATTCCTCTTTACTATTCACTAGAATCCTTACAAAGTCAATCCGTCTCATTTTTTTCTACGTAGTAATCCAAGATTGACATTTTATTCAAATTCATGGTATGGGTCGGTGTGGTCATGCATCAACGGCCAAGATGAACATTGGGACTCCGTAAATGTTTAAAGATGTCAAAAAGTAGACTACTTTTTGGCTTTTCTTTTCGTAGTAAGTGCAAGTCACGTGCAATATTGTTGTTCACGGTTTAAAATACATTTCATAGAGGATTTATCTTATGGGTCTTGGTTTCATTCATTTTTATGTTCTATCTGTTCTGTCAACATTTTTTCTTGGCTATTTATAATCTACACACTAACTGAATAGGTTTTTCAATGGGTCGGTATGGTTTCTGTAGTATGCTTCCGGCACTTCCAGTTCCAGTTGTCCAAATTTTATCAGAACAAATCCAAATTAAGGACTTTAGATGATCTGTAGAGACATCGCTTGAGGTCGACTATCTTTGCTCGTATTCTCATAATACCTTCATAACCTTGCTAAAAATAATTTTTGCAAAATAACAAATATGTTAAAATTTATTTGATTACAAAAACAGAAACCTTTATTTATTATTTTCTAGGGCCGTACGCTTTGCCGCCTTCTTCGCTCACTTTCCGTAAGGTGATCTACCTACAGATAATACAAAAAGCGCCGTAGTCTGGGTAGCAGTAAAACTTCTGCAACGATGGAAGAGCGAAATCTGTGGAACTGGTGTAACTGTAGTGAGGTAATTGCTGCTAATAGATTACCTAAATCAAAGAAAATACAAATAGTACCATCTTCGGATAGCTGCAACGGTATAGTAGGATTGGTGCAGATTTTGAGGGTCATTGCAATGAGTTACACGTATATTATTGCTAGTTCGATGTAATCAAATTTACTCATATTAAAACAAGCTAATAGAATAACTGCAAGAGGATAACAGGTTAGGTAGGGCAGCATAATTGCAATAACATAACTGTTTAAGCTAGGCTGGGTGTAACATCAATGATTGTCAAATCAAAGGCAGAACCCTGTGGTCAATCTCGTACAAATCTGCTACACAAAAGTAAGAAGTTGGTTCTGTTGTTTGCTTAACCGATTTATATTCCAAATTCCCCAGGATCAGGTGTGGCACTGGATCGTCCTACGTTACCGCGACGATCTTTACGAACAAGGTGACCAGAACATGCCAATGAATGAATCGCAAATCATTTTTGACTTAGATTGATCAAATGGTTGCGTGTCGTTGTTCCTATTAGATAACGACGGTTAGCGTAGTGAGCTACACACACCCCGAAACGAGATAAAAGCTGCACTGCAATACCGCACATATCGAATCACCAGTCGTGAAGAAATATTTGATCCTATTCTGCGGCTTAACATACTCACAAAGATTCGGATTATTTTTGTCCGAAAACTAGAAAAATTTAAGATCGATAGCATATAGGAAACTCACTAATAAAAAAACATGAGGACGAACTCCTTAGAGGATGAACTTAGAAAGTTTTACATGCTCTTATTTTCATTCAAATGCGGACGAAGGTACATGTGGGAGACCACAGTGTACGTTCGCATGCAATAGCGTCACTTTTACAATCATTTCTATAAATTTTTTTTGTCTATTTATTAATATTCTCTAACTATATATATATATATATATATAATATAAATTATTTTATGTTTACCTTAGTGACCATTACTACTAGTACAAGCCTCTCGGATTGTCAAGAAAAAAACAAAATATGTCTTAGAATTACTGTTTAACCCAATACGGACGCCTTCTACAAAATATAAACGAAAGTTATAATCTGCGAGTTTTTTTTGAGAGCCGTAAGTATCTTGGGTATGGATGCGGTAGATTTATCTAGCCACCATCTATGTTAACTTAATATACAGTGGATACCGTAACAAAATATATGGTACCTTCAGCTTAGCTTATCTCCGCCACGGTTGTATGAATGTGTTTCACGTATAGCGCCTGTTACTACGTAGCATTATTCATAGAGCGTGTAGCACACCAACGGACCTTACCAATGGAAACATATGAAAATTAGAATTGCATCGTATAAAACGAGCCTATCTTCTTGAAAAGCCTGACCTATGCCGACTGTATAAACATCCTACATTAAGCGCAAATATATTGAAAAGCATCTTACCTTAGCTAACCGTCATTTTTTTAGCCGGCTGAAATGGCAAACCACTACGGTTTTAATTACTCCTACGTCGATATGATTAATTGTTAAATCCCATCTAAACTGCAGATGTTTGCCTAAGGAGCAGATCTTTGTTTATACAGTCAATGCTTGCTAGCAGTTTTGCTATATTTTGCGTGCCGTTGTTATTTTTACTGACTAAATAGATACATACATTTGATCAAGCTGATTTCACTATGACCTGCTTGTAAGTTGACCATAACCGAAATTGGATGGCGCTGGTGGCGACCGTTTGGAAGATTTCGGGGTTCCTTTTGACCCTGACCAATAGATGACTTACCCATCCAAGGAGAAACTAAAGGTCAAAGCCCTTACCGCAGTGACGTCCCCGTGAGAATGAATGGGTACTACTTTAAGCAGGCGTATACATATTTGGTCTTCGCCTACTAAAATTAGGGACATTATGGGAAATGGTATAGGGTCAAAACTGGATGTAGGTTCAAAACTATATATACCGATAGGAGCCAACCATCTAAAACAGAAGAATATATTTTTCTATTATAATATTTTTTATTGTTATTAATGTTAAAAAATAATAAAATAAAACTTTATATATATATATATATATATATATATATATATATTTATTAAGGACCAACGAAGGTAAGTTGCTCAAAATTGCATGCAAAAAATTGAATTCGAATTTTATGCGACCACGTTACAAGCTGCATCAAAAAAAATTCACGGATTTCAACACTGACGTATGCGAATTGGGTGATCCTTTTCTTATGAATGGCGCGATTCGCCCGAAATTGTTATAAATGAAAAGATAACAACACTGGCAAGATGTTTAAAAACCTGTTCAAAAGAAAACACAGAAGGAACGCTTAATCCGACAGCTGCTGATTGAAACTAAGATGGATATCGACAACCTGAAAACGCAGTTTACTGTAGCTTTTCAAAATGCTACGAAAAAAATGAACTGGAGACAGTTCTTAAGTTAGCACAAGTACTTCATGTGGAACGGACTTCATAAATAAGAAAAAGCCTGGCCTTAAATCCGTACATTCGAAAGCTAACGCCCGTTTAATATTCAGCAAAATTGAAAGAATCTGGTTTCGTTCTCATAACCTGAATGCTAAAAAGCGAAGACAAAAGTGTGAACTAAACAAAAAATTAATTATTAAAACAAGCTAGGTCGTTCTTCATTCATCGTATTCATTACAAAACGCTAACGTTTAATGGTGCAACGACTGTCTAACGGTTTACTATATTTTTACCGTATTTTTTTTTAATAAACTATAACAAAACTGCTACTTTTTCCTTCTAATCCTTTTAGCAATTTAGAAATGTATGAGAATCATAAGGATTTCAGTGACTTCTAAAGCAAACTTTTTCTATTAAAAAAAAAGTACTATAGGCAAAAGCCAAAATGATTACATTATATCAATAATATTTTTATAATAGTATTTGGGCGCGGACTTCGGTATACAGCTGTGCGTTCGCTAGCTGGCGCAGATCGATAGACACACGTCTTATCCGCATGTACAGACATTTACCATTGCAGACCGATTATTAGTTTTAATCGAACAGTAATACAAGTACTTATGAGCGAACGTTACTACTGATGATTTGATTCTAAAACTTTTGAAAATAATCATTAAGCTTTTGGTCTCGATTCACAGCGACTAAAGGCGTTCTGATTAGTCTGCATGTCTGAGCAAATCCCATATATGTGAAATGCAGGAGCTGTCTCTTCCATAAACATGTTAATTGCTACTACACAAGTGATCAGGTCGAGCTGTTTTTATTTTTAGCACGTATCTTTCATATTTTTTCTATAGTATCACACACAAATTGTTATTTCCTTCCTTTATCAAATTGTTGTTCCCTTCCTTTATCAAGTTGCTTTAGTAATTTAATAGTGCAGTAATAGTAATACTATTTAATCGGTTTAATGATTTACGAACATCTCCTATGATTGAAATGGAAGCAGACAGGATATAGCCTGAATACACATACAGCCTAAAGCCTAATCTAGCGTGTACATGCACTAGCACAGTAACTAACATCACAAAAGATTTCGCAGTTTGTTCGTAGTAGAACCCTACTCAAAGTGTGAATATATTCGAACGAACGCCCAATCCAATCGCGAACTGCAAGCGCGCACGACATAGAGCAGCTCTTATATCATTCATTACAAGCAAACTCACGCGAGCTACGAACATGCATGCTACCGCGGCGTCACGTGAGCGGTGCATACAGCGTAATTAATAAAGTAATGCATACAGCGGTGACTGTATGCATTACCTCAATCGGTTTGAAATGCGCCAGAACAAGACATATCTGTTCGGCTCAGAAGTAGGCCCATTGTCCCAGATAAGAGCACCGTCACAGTCACCTCATCAAAGCCTGGAGTGGCCTTCGATTTCCACTCGCGAACTGTCGATAACGCTCAACCCATTGACAGCTATCACGGCGTCATACTCCGTTAAACTTGAATACCGCAATAGGGATAATACCGTATTTTGAATTGCGTTTTTGCGTGTTTGGCCAGTTGGGCCAGCTGTACAAAAAGAAAACCGCAAGAAGTTTCATCAGAATCGATTGAGAGTCGGGATTCAAGTAGTTTATTGTGTACTTTATTCATTGAAAAGCCAACCTAAACCTGTATCTTACCTTACCATCCAATCATTCTAATAATAGCAATAATAACGAATAATATTCCTGCTCACTGCCTGCAAAGTTGGAAGCATGTTGTCCGCCACACTGAACGTTTTTCATGTGTATTATTTTTAAAAGCTGAATTCAAAACCCTTTGGTTTAGGAAATTGCAATAATTGTTAAAGAATTAAAGTGTAGAGCTTCCTCACCAATTTTGAGCCATGCGTAGGCTTGTTCAATCGAAGGCTATAATGGTAATCGTAATCTATAACTGTAGTCATATTCTATAGTATTCGTAGTGTCGCGTAAGTTTTTTGAACAAGCCCGTTCGATATTTGTGATAATGAAAAAAGGCGCAGATTATGCCTGACCGCATAACGTCTAGAAACATGGTTGACATATACCCCTACATATGGTCGTAAATACCATCGGAGTATCTTCTAATAATCAGTATCTTGGTATTGGCTCTTCGCCGAGGTACCCCTCCTATATCTTAGTTAAGAAAGGGTAATTATTTACACGAACTGAAAACAATTCCAGGCATTATTTGCGTTAATGTAGTCAAATGCAGATATAAATACTAGGATATCTGCTTCATTTTATTAACCGGAGGCAATCATTATAAACGAATTACAGAACAAGTGCTCTTTACGTAAACGTGTTGTTGAATGCAGATTAATTAATTTTTTTACAACTAATTAAATCATAAATGATGATTTTTGCGATACTTGGTGTAGTAACATCCCGGACTCAATTATTGAGAGCTTTTGCTACGTGCCATTCCTCAACACGGAAATTAGCACTGCGTTTAAATATAACTTTCCTCATTTATATCATTCCTACTTGTTTTTAAAGTCCTGTTGAAAGATATTCAAACACAAAGCCCAAACGCCGTTATGAAGCAATGCGATATGCGCTGATTGGCCAACTTTTGGCGTCAGGTTAGCCCTAATTGTTTCCAAGCGTAAAACCGCCCCAGTGCCCTAGTCTTTAAGGTGTTGTACTCGCGGAAGCGGCTGTGATTTAGCTTCGGGCGAAGCCTCTGGCGAAAGACGCATGATGAACGAATCTGTGAGGTATTTTCGATAATCTTTGGCATCTTTGCCTCTAGCTGCCTCATACCATGACCCCAAATGCGGGAAGACGCATTAAGCAGTAAGCAGATTGCAGCCATGTCCAGTCTATATTGGTTAGAAAAGGGGCATTAATAATGAACGAAGTCATTCCAGCGCATGTTTTCTAGGTAATCCCAAAATCAGGCTAATCGCTGACCGAACGATATTTTCACGATTTGATTTGAACTTCGAAATGAATAGTTACTAGCTATCATCTCAAAGCATTAGCAATACATTTCCCTTCAAAACAAACACTGTTAACAACTTTCATAGAAACGTTAATTTGTTAGATACAGTAAATCTACCCTTCCACCATTTTGCTGTCCGAAGTGTTCTTCATCAAGAATTAAACCTCGTATATCCTCAAAATAAAACCAAGTTACACAGACTTTCGGCGTCTGTCATGAGTTCGTAAAGCGTGATTCCCAATTACCACCAGTCCGTGGCTCGACCGTATGCCTTCCGACACGTAAGGTGGTGTGCCAGCAATTTCCATATCGTTTTGCAGT